CCAGAAGCAAAATCTAGCCACAGCCTGGTTACCAGAAACATTTATTTTATTTGTCCTAAATGGCAGGTAAATGGTAGAATATATAAATTAAAACTTACATCATTAATAATCCGGCTACTAAACACAGTGGAGTAAACGTTACACATCTCCACAAACCAAATACCATACAAACTGAAAGACGTAAAATAACAGCATTTAAATTGTATAAAAACATTTACAGATTGCTAGACTTGGTCACAGTTATCTTAAACAATGGTAAAATGAAATTTAAGCAATAATGTGGGAAAATTCACGTTCTACGTCCAAGTTTAAATTCTTTATTTTTTAATCTTAATTCAAAAAAGACTGATGAAATTGCGGGGGAGAAAAAGATGAAAAATAATTCTATATAAAATGATTAATATCATTTTACTATTTTTATTTATTTGAAATAAAACCAGTTATTAAAGGGTGATGCATTCAAATAGGTCCCATAATATGCATAGCAATGTATGTATATGCAAGTGGGTGAAATTAGAAAACTTAATTCATGTGACTGCAGTTACCACCATACTTTAAATAATTGAATTGGTTTTACTGTCACAGTCAGCTGAGAACAAATGTTCATAATTTACAAAGGTACATTCTTAAATTTCTAATTTGAAGTTAGAACTGGATCCATGGCATTGTTAGAGTGGGTGATTCATATTCAGTCGTTGTCTTCCTGCTCAAACACAACCATGAATCCTCCGGGGTTTCGGTAAGAGCCGACTGCCAGCCATATCGCCTGCTATAAGCCCAAATTGGCTGTCTACTCTCTGCCCCGACCGCCTACGTCGGTCTTGCTGCAGCGCTGAGAGCCTTTTTTTTTGGCCTGATGTTACAGGATTATGGCCTGCTATTAAATGCATTTGTGAAACCCCTGAATCTTGCTAACTAAATAAGGTGGATGCACAGGAAATTGATGCACATTGTTTTGGATCAAACAGATGAACCAAACATAAGTGAGTAACTGCTAGAATCTTGATTTACCCATAAAAACCTCAATTACAACTATAATGTTATGCAATTTGCATGAATTCTTGTGTCATGTATCTGGTTTTACAACAGAAAAATTCACAGGGGTGTTTGAAATTAAATGTAAACTTGATAACACCCACTCTGACAATGCTGTGGATCCAGGGCTAATTTGAACTGAACCATAGAACTATCGTCATATGTGTTCTCTGAATGTAATAAAGTTTTTTTCCCAGCATTTCCAGCCCTACACTTTTCTGCCACATAGAAGGAGGACTTTTCAGCCATGAGCGTATTTACAACATACCAATTGAATGTTTTCATCTAGTATTCATAGGTATGGTATATTTTTCCCCAGTTATTATTATATTTCGTTGCTCAGATATAGTGGTCATTATATAGGCAAACCTCAAGATTTTTTATAGGTACTGGGTATTGAAAAGTTAAACGTCTTGTGCTGGAGACCTTGTGATGTAACAGTACGATTTTACTTAAAGGGTTATAGTCGTCGAACCACGCATGTACAACATTTGTTTTGATAATATTGATTTGCTCACAATCAAATGTTCTCTTCTAAAAGAAATCTTTAGCGCATGGGTTGACCTGGGCGCGACATGCACTAATTACCGCTGGTGACTCTTACCTTCCAGTCACCAAAGGAATCACCTAATTAAAGCTTGTAACATCTCAGTTTGTACTCATTGGTCTATGCAACAGTCAAAGTCGCCATCTTCGTTTATATATACAAGACACATATCTCTCGACGACTACCGCCTTTCAACCATTTGGGGAAACATTGATCGGTACATTATAAAACATATGCGATGCTGAAACGTATGGGGACAAAATGCTGATTGAGTTTCAAGGCCAAAAGCTACACTGTAAATTGTATTCTGTATACAAATTGTACATACAGTAATTGTTGACGTCATACGTTATTTTAGGGAAACCTCAGACCACTTGAACACAGTTTAAGGTTACGGTCTCTTTTAGTAACCGTGATTTTAAAAAAAATCTCATGTTTTACTTAATGTACTATTTGATTTTTTGACTTTCGAGTCTCGTACCTTGAAACGCATATATAAGTATACGAGTCTAGACTGACGATAATAAAAAAAACAATTCATTTATTTTCCGGGTCATCGAAAAGTTGGTTCACACAGATGAGTGTCGCTGTTATTTACGCCTGTATATGAAATGGTTACTGATTGAGACCAATTCTTGGAGTTAGTTGTAGACTAATGGTATACTTACGAAGACCACTCAATGTTCCGATTACTCGCACAAGTATACGAAACCACCATGATACCTGCTGGTCTTGCTGTTGTTTCTGTGGAGGGGGTGTCGTTGACTCATCTACCTGCATTTCAGTCGTTCCCGGGTTGTCGCTAAATTCACCTACTGAAGAGTTCATAGTTTTAAAAATATACTAAATTGATTAACTAAATCATAAGCGCGAAACTCCTCGATGAGTTCGCGAAAATTGTATGGCTAGTGGAACAGAGAGTGGTTCGCGAAATCAACAAATATATCAAACGGTTCTGGACATAAATGGGCAGTCGACGTGGAAAGCCTCGTTTTAGATCGAACTTTGACCGATGTACTTGCGAGGGAATAGCGCCACCAAGCGATAAGATTAACCAATTTTCCAAATCTGTATAGATGGCGCTGTTACATGCAAATTTAAGCTAAAAGCTGGAAAAGAATACCAGCAAACAGCACAATATCACTCGTAAGCAAGTCAAAGGGCAGTGAAATGTTTCGAAATTGTCTTGTTAAAAGGTCAATTCAGGTCAACTTCCAGGTCAAAGGATTTTCTCCGGAATCACGTGACAGATGAGATCTGATTGGCTAGGAATTTTCACACGGATCATTTGACAAGGGGGAAAAACTATTATTGCATGTCATTCATGACATAGCAGATTTTCTTCATTGATCGAAGAATGAGTGCTTGGCTAAAATTGACCAGTCATTCAACATGAGCCAAACAGTGAACAAGTTGGTGAGGCAGCTCTTAAAAGGCAACAGTGCCTTACTGCAAGGTCAAAACATTGTGAACACTTTTAAAGGTTGCAGCAAACATGCCCGAGTTATCCATTCAACACAAGTGTACAACAACTCATCGGACGGGAGGAGTGGTGGTTCAGTGCATATGCCACAAATACAGCTTCCTGATTATCTAGGAGAAGAGGAAAAGACATTTCGGGGACTGGATGTGGCATTTCCATGCGAGCTTAGACGGTAGGCATATACATTTAAAACTACTCCTGCATGGTGATTGCATGGTTTCATCATCCTGTATTTTTCCATTGTTTACACTATGTTCATTGGTTGATCGGCATGGCGAGGGCATTTGTTTCAGGTTATTCTGTTATTTACGCGTTATTTTGCGTATTGACGGGGGGTGGGGGAGGTGGTATTAAAATGATTTAATAGTTTAGTTTCCTGCGTTCGTTCTCCCCGGGCGCTTTCCATTCAGTCAGCTGTGCACGGCCGAGCATCAGCTGATGCAATACGTAAACAAGGTCACACTAACAATGCTTTTGTATCCGATACTATCTTTTACTGTTAGAAAGGACCATGAAAGCTGGCCTTGTTTTTTGTATTTACGCAGTTGTTGACATCATATTTTGTTTTACGTCATTTCCATATGCATGTTTTAGTCCAAAAACGAGAACTGTGTGTAAGGGGACGCGT